TTGTGTGAGACTCTATGTGTGAGGCAAACTGAACACTGAGTCGTGGGCTCTGAGAGCACAGTGGCCATTCACTCTGTACCTATGGGCATGGGGACTCCTCCCTAGTGATAGCCTCGGACCCTTGTGCTAAGTGTGAAGCAGAAGGCAGAGATTTAAGGTGCAGCGAAGGAGAAAAGAGAAACTACTCCCCCAACATCAGCCATGCCACGCTCTGTACCCTTGTCCTGTGGTTCACTGCTCTGGAACATCCCTTACCCTCTTCCCTGCTAACCCTGTGGTCAACTCCTCAGAGTCCATCTGTCATTCAGACAAGATTAAGTGTCTTTCCTGTGCCCCTTACTCCTCCACACCAGCAAGCCAGAGTCACACACATATGCTCCTACCCTAACTAAACTGTGAAGTCAAGCGCAGGGACCAGATCTCACTTTCTATCTACCCCAGGATCAATGCAGTGGCTGGTCCATGATGGGCACTGCCCTAGTGAGGGTTACTATTGCAGTGATGAAACACCATGACCAAAAAACAAGTTGGGGAGGAAAGGGTTTATTTGGCTCCCACTTCCACATCACTCACTGTTTGTCATCAAAGGAAGTCAGGAACTCAAACAGGGCAGGAACCTGGAGGCAGGAGCTGACTACTGTGCTTTGCTCAGCCTGCTGTCTTGTATCACCCAGGGCCACCAGCTCAGAGATAGCACCACCCACAATGGGTGGGGCCATCCCACATCCACCACCAGTTAAGAAAACGATCTACAGCCAGATCTTACAAACGGAAGCGTTTTCTCAGCTGAGGTTCCCTTTCTGATGACTCTAGCCTGTGTCAACTAGTCAGCACAGGTACCCAGTACAGACATATTAAATAGATGACTATTGGTCAAACGTAAATAAGTGAGTCTCCAGCGGATATAGCAGATGTTAATTAGCTGCTTACTACTCTGTGTTGCTCGCTAATAGCATGGTGCTGAGGGCAAGAGTCTTTTGTTGCATATAAGGACTTAATAGATGTCCTAACTGGGCGTTCCTGGTGCACACCTTTAATCCCAGCACTCAGGACAGATGTCCCTTGTTTTCAACAAATGGGGGTATGAGAAGAAGCTAGCACAGTACCTAAGAGTGCTGTTGAGGTTAACATCCTGAATCTGCTTCTTACTGTGTGGTTCAGGCCACTCACATAACCTCTGTGGTAGCCCACTTTATTTTTCTATAAAATTACAATTATAGGGCTTGGGGATATAGTTCCATAGCAGAGCACATGCTTAGCATTCATAAGATCCTGGGTTCAATTTCCAGATCCATCACCAAGCGATAGGAATAGAGTCTATAAGGGTTACCGTGTTTAAGCACATGAAAGTGTATCTGGAGTGGCTAGGAAAGCATCGTGTGGATACTTGAAAGAGCACAGATGGGTAGAACGGTTCCAGGCCCCCAGAAACTGCAGGCTGGTACCTTGAAAGGCTTAGCAATGAGCAGGGCAGACCCCAATGCCGGTGCAGGGTCCAGAGATTAACCTAGGTCCAGGTTCCTGGTTCTAAGGCCCAGGAGGGCACACCCTACACCCACCCAGCCCTTGAGCCCCCCACTCACTGCTTTTCCTTGTTTCCTAAAGGAAAATGTCTCTCTGATCAAGGAGATTAATGAGCTCCGCAGGGAGCTGAAGTTAACCCGCTCCCAAATCTTTGACCTTGAATCAGCCCTGAAACTGTCCAAGAAAACACGACCACAAGAAGTTCCAGAGACAGGTAAAGCCGCTGGGAGCTGGGCACTGAGACAAAGGCCCAACGGCGGCCATGGGCAGGTCTCCCTTTGGCTTCTTTCAATATCCGGCCACATCCACCAGAGGCATGTTGGAGCCTCTCCATGGCACACACTGCCTCTCCTGAGGATCTGTGGGGACCTGCGGGCATCCATGCTCTCACTCACAGGGCCGCAGGCTCCTGTCTGAAGTCCTCAGGGTTAGCTATCATTCAGACTCAGAATCTTGCAGGTTTTAGAAAGAACATGCTGTATATTATGTAACATCCCCACGGGGTCTGGGGCAGTGCCCTGAAATCAAACACATTAGCATTCTGCAGCAACATGTGAATATTCAAACTCAGCTTCATGAATTTAAAACAGTGTTCCATTTTTAACATTTTTAAATCTTCTTCTTTCTTTTTTTTTTTACGTTTTAGAATTGTGGGTAAGGGACCTGTACAATTAAAATGAAGACAAAAAGATGAAAAACTATTTAAAAGGAGAGGGAAATTACATAAGAAATGTTCAATAAATTTGTGACTGTAAAGACACATTAAAGGGTCGCTGAACATCAGGTAGCCAAGGGAAATAGTATGACAGTGAATCCACACACTTAGGAGACAGAAACAGGAGCCTTGCCATGAGCTCAAGGACAGCCTGGGCTACAGTGCGAGACGATGTCTCAAAAGCAAAGGTGGTGTAGTTTACATAATTCTCACTGTATGGCAGAAAGAAGGGGTTTCACACTTTTGCTTTTTTTCTGGGGAGGCAAACTTTTTCCTGGCACTAGACTGCGTGAGAAAGGTATCACACGGCTCTCTAAGAAAGGAATGTCGACTAAAAGCCTCCAGTCTCCAGACTTTCAGGTAGTAAATCTATATTCCCTAAGTCATCTTCGTACCTGAGCATCAGCACAAACCAAGACTAGAAGGCATCTCTATGAAGAGTAAGCCAGTGGTGACATATGGCTTTAATCCCAGGACTTGGGAAACAGAGGCAGGTGGATCTCTGAGTTCGAGACCAGCCTGGTCTACGGAATAAGTTCCAGGCCATCCAGGGCAGTTACACAGAGGGGGAAAAAGGAAGGAAGAAAGGAAAGGAGGGAGGCAGGGAGGGAGGGAGGGAGGGAGGGAGGGAGAGAGGGAGGGAGGGAGGGAGGGAGGGAGAGAGGGAGGGAGGGAGGGAGGGAGGGAGGGAGGGAGGGAGGGAGGGAGGGAGGGAGGGAGGGAGGGAGGGAGGGAGGGGAGAAAAGAAAGAAGACCACAAAGGCCACAAATGTTACCGTGCCTAATGACACATCTGTAATCCCCCCACTTGAAGGGGCAGGAGCAGAAGATTTAACTCCAGTGAGAAGTGAGTTCAGACAGGAAGGCAAAAAGATCCCTGGGGCTTGCTGGCTCCTGGCCTAGCTAAAGAACAACCATCTCCAGGTTGGGTGAGCACTTTCTCAAGGGAATAGGTGGAGATCCATTAGAGGAAGGCATCAGGCGTCCTTGCTGTGGCCTCTGCAAGTACACTTAAGTGTGTACCACAGAAAGAAAGAGGCTGGGGTGGGGGAGGGATAAAAGAGGAGAACAGGAAGGAAGTGGGGAGAAAAAACTACAAATTCACAAAGCATCCTGAAAACTCCTTAGTTGGGACACCTCACACACTCTTTCCCCCCCACCTTCCCCCTTGTAGGAGCTCTTTATATCATTAACTAATGTGGAGATTCCCAGACATATAAAAAAGTTGATAGCAAAATCTGGTGAACTCACAGGAATTCATTTCCCAACTCCAGGAAGCATCAATTCCTGCCACTCTTGTATATCTTCAATATCTGCCCCTGTGCACCTCAGCCCAACACTCACACCATGGACTGTTTGAAAGCAACCAATCTATCCTTCCTCTGCTGCAGCTTTATCCAAAGAACACTCACTTGTGACAGTGGGTGACAAGTAATACCAGTTGTTGACCTCAATTGTGCAAAACCGAAGTCTGACCTTGGATTTTGAAATGTGCACCCGCCCCCTTCCCAAGACAAGCCAGAGCAGAGTACTCATTCTTCAAGTTGTGTAGGAGCTGGCCCGCTTGCTTGGCGGGTGTTTGAGAACCCTTTGAACAAGGGAGCTTTCGTTCCCTAAAGACTACATCAGTTTTAACATTTATATTGTTTCCAAAATTGCAACACAATTAAGTAACAGATCCAGCAGATATACCTGCTTGTTTTTCACTTTCTAAAACCGTATCACTAGAACTTACAGCTAAAGGTGGCTATTCAAAACCATCTTTAAAAAAAGGGCACCAAAGGAAGAAGGGGATGGAGGAGCATCCCTGTTTTCAGAGGCCCAGGGAACTAAATCCTAAGCTGAAAATGAAGACCATAGGAAAAAGAACTAACATATGCTAAACTACCAACGCAGCAAACTATGGGATAAAACCAACAAAGACTATGAAAAGTCAGACTGTTAAAATGAACCCACCAGATGGTAAAATGACTGTCCTGAATTGGATCTTCAGGACCCAAATGGTGGAAGGAGAGAATTGACCTCTATTGTGTGCAGTGGCATACATGGAAATACACACACACACACACACACACACACACACACACAGAGTGGAGGAAACACTGAGTGAGTGAAGTCCTGAGTGAATTTATGCTGTTGACGTGGACATCATGGACCATGCCAAGGGCTGTATCCATGTGGACAACACCCCAAAGCCTCAGCTCCCCGCACCGGGAGATGGTGAAACCTTCCATCCTATTCCAAGTGCAAATGTTGACAGTGTATTGCAAAAAGGAGCCCACTGTGGCTTTCTTCTTCCCATCGACACCCAAATGTTTACAGCCTGAAGAACACTCCCTGCAGAGACTACTCCCTGTTGAGCTGTAGCTAATAATTCTCTGTTCAATCGTAGAATAAACACACTGAGCTTCTGGGGTGGCTGTGGCCTGCTTCTCCATCCTCACTTTTCCTTCTGTCTGTCCTTTCTTCAGTCCTTGCCACCCCAACCAGATCAAATCACATACACATACATGTGCACACACATGAAGAAATAGATGGGTAAAATATAACAAAAATGATTTAATGCCTTATATGTTTAAGGAAATAAAAAAGGAATTAGTGGTGGTGGTGGCTTTTTTTTTTGAGACAGGATTTCTCTGTGTAGCCTTGGCTGTCCTAGAACTCACTCTGTATACTAGGCTGACCTCAAACTTGGAGATCTACCTCTGCCTCTGCCTCCCAAGTGCTGGGATTAAAGATACATGCCACCACTGCCCTACTTTGAAATTTTTTTAAGCAAGAGTATTCTTATATTTTTGGTTGTGAGCCTAGCCTTTAACAGCTGAGCCATCTCTCTAGCCCAAAGCAAGAGTATTCTAAAATTTTACAAATTATACTTAAAAACGACAATTAACTAGTAGAAATGAGAACTGTAATTATTATAATTAGAAACTTAATGAACAAGTTGAGCCATATGGTAGATACACCCATTTGAAGGGAGTATATGTGAACTAAAAGAATGAATATGGTGGCTTGGATTCAGCCCAGAGGGACAACATACACTGAGAGCCAGGGATGGAATGGAATAAGGCGGCAGCTGTCTACACTGAGTCCTCAGAAGATGGGTGTCACCTCAAGGAGTAACGGAGTTTTTCAGAATCAGTGGGAGATGGCGACCACCAGCTCCAGGAATCCCAGTGGTCCCCGAGAGGTTAATTAATAGTTAACCCTACGTCAAAACCACAGAGCACCAAGACAAGGAATGCAGTGCAGTCGGGGAGAAGGGATAGGACACAGGAGCAACAGTGCCAGGTGACAGGTGACTTCCCAGTGGCAACAGTGAGTGCCAGAAATGGTGATGCAGTCCTTTCAGAGCGCTGAAGCTTGGAGGCTATCTCCTCGCTACGAGTCACCAAGGAACGAATGCAGAATGTAGACTCCGAGGCATCTGTAATGATCTAACATGGGGAACACAGCAGCTGAATTGTGGATCCAAATAGCCAACCTCAGAAGACCTGAGACATGGGGCAGAAGCGTCCAAGCCAGGGGATGTGGAACTGAACCATCCCAGGTCTCCTTTTGCATGTCTGTGACTACAGCTGAACAGGCACCACAGAGTACATGTAGACAGCAGGGTGAGAGGACAAGTCAATTATCAGTTCTCATCTTCTTTGTGTGAGACAGGGTGACATGTTCCCCCACCACACAATGTGTGTGATCTCAGGGCCTCTACTGTCTCTAATCCCATCTCCCTGTAGTTCTGAGACTGCACACACACACACACACACACACACACACACACACAAACACACGCACGAGCACACACACACACACAATTATATTGTGCTTCACGTGGGTCTCACTCAGCCATCCCTACTCTGCAGTCTTTGTGTTCTATAAGCATATTAAACTTTTGCGGTGATAGGAGAGCAGGGGAGAAGGAAAGAGGAAATCTTCCAAACCAATAAAGGGGAAATAGACCGAATTTGAAAAAACAGTTCAAGAAAAGAAACGTGATACAGAGTCTAGAAAGGAGGTTGAGGTACGCCCAACTGTATCCCTGACCACTTTCTTGTTTCCCATCCTTTGAAGTTGGATTTGGGGCTGAGAATGTAGCTCTGTGGTGAAACTGCTGTATGTACATGGCCCCTGGGCTCACTCCACAGCACTGTAGATAACCACAGGGGTGACAATAAGAAGCTAATTGTTCAGATAAATTTATCTGTCTATGGAAGGAAGCCAGGTCTGGAAGGTGACAGAGACGGGGCATGTGGGGGGGGGCGAAGGTGGGTGGAGCCTTAAGCGAGAGCTCTCTTCCCAATAGCTGTGGAAGAAGCAGGGTTTATACACCAAAGAAGGGGCCCTGTAAGACCGAACCACAGTGTGGTGAACATTGGCTGTCAGAAAGGAGAGAAAGAGACCAGTGCTGGGAAGAGGCAGGAAAAGCACAACCCAGGCCCTAGAGATACTCACAAGCCAGAGTGGGAGACAGAGCAGGAGCCATAACAGAAGCCCTACAGGCTGTCCACTGGGCCATCTTCCACCAGTTGAACCTAGGAACACTCATGGGACAGTATGTGGCAAGTCGGGTACATTTGTGAAGGTGACTGCTCTAGGTCAGCCTCCAACCCGTAGCTGTGGTTCTGGTGGCCCTTCCTCTGTGGAGAGCCGCTGCCCACCTCGGAGGTCCAGTGACCTCACTCAGTGCTTGAACATCCTGGCCGGCCTTAAAGCCACAGTTTGGAACAACTGTGAGGCACTCTGGGAAGGGTGTGCTCGCGTGGCCAGAAGAGAATCTCGGCACTGAATCTCTCAGACAGACACCAGGACCGTGGCTTCACAGGCACCTCCATCCCAGGGGAAACCAGTGACTGGTTAAGTAGCTGTATGTGAAGGCTACTGAGAGGAACCTGGCTGGAGACAGGAGCTGATGAGGAGGTCACATCACCGAGGAAACAACCAGCAGCAGGAGGATGAAGGGTTGATACCTAGGGAGAAAAAGCACTAGGAGGTGAGGAGCCTTGAGACTGCAGCAAAGGAAGTCTAGGCAGAAGGAGGAAGAACCAGACCCAGGAAGGGCAAGATAAGCCAATCGCTCTTTAAATGCTGGTGCCGTTACACCAGTCAGAGGCCAAGACAAGGCTGACCACTGGCCACCGCTGACTGTTTCCTAGAGAAAGCTGTCTCTCCTTTGGCCTCTGGCATCTGTTCTTTTCTAGTATTTCCCTTAGAGCTACAGGAAAGGGCTGGCAGTGGGCAGGGGAGAGAGGCAGTGCTGTTAAGAATGATGGATAGGGAATGGAGGTCAGAGTTCAGATGTGCTGCTGTGGGGAAGGGCAAAGTCTGCAGGCTATAAACAGATAATCAGCTGGAGCCAAAGCACTGGACCTCACATGCTATTTTTCTCAGTAGCACACAGCAGGACAGACATGGATGGAGGGACCCTGACGGGTCCAGGAGGCACTTGCTTTCTGCCTCGTGTGGGCTGGGCAGGATAGAGGAAATGGAAGAACAAATCAATTAGAAACTAGGGGTGAGGTGGGGGTCAAGAAAATGCAGGGAAAAAACTCCTAGTGGGTCCAGGGGACCAGAAAAGAACGTGAATTTAGGAACCCATCTCATCTCTTGGGCAGAAGGGAATTACAGGAAGACGCAGTCCCAGCTAGCACGGGACTACTGGACAAACAGTAAAAGAGTCCGTGGTCTGAGACTGGTGCACTGGCATGGGAGATGAGGGGACCATCCTAATGAAGAAAGGGGAAGGTGACATGGCTTGGAGGCCAAGATTACTGCTAGGCGTCCAGCCCTTTGAGGCCCAGGCCTGAGATATGCCCAGGGTGGTGGCAAACCCCAGGACAGGAAAGACGGCAAGCTCCAAGGTGCAGGAAGCATAAGCAGGTGACCACATAAAGGGAGGAGAGGAGTCTGTGTCCAGAAGTGCCATCTTTACCAGAGGACTGGCGGCTGGGATCCCAGCGTCGTCCCCAGGGGGCTACACTTGACCTCAGGGAGGCACATGGGCATGGGCAGGTCAGACTTACCACATGGCACAGTCTGTTTATTTCTCCCAGTGTGGAGGCTCTGTGGGTGTTTGGAGGGGATGGAGACTGCAGTAGTTAGTTAGTAACAGGCCACAGTGACCTTGCTTTGTCCCTTACAGTGCTCAGCAAGGACATGGCCAGCATCAGTCCTACTATGCGACTGAATGAACAGGAGGAAACCGGGCGAATCATTGAAATGCAGCGCCTGGAAATCCGCCGCCTCAGAGACCAGATCCAAGAGCAGGAGCAGGTCCCGGGCTTCCACACCATTGCCGGGGTTCGACTCCCTTCCCTCGTCGACTCAGATGTGGATTTTGAAGTGCACAACAAGTGACCTGGGGTGAGCCATTTGCAGCCACAGTCTGAAGCACCATGTGTCGGTCACCAAGCCAGACTTCTACGTGAGTCCCATCGACCTCTTTCATCCTGGAGAGTTGGGGGCATGGTCAGAATAAAGGTATTTGCTCACAACCTTGTCCAACTTCTGCTTAGGGTGGGGGCTCATGGGAAAGCAGGAGAAGAGCCTGAGGACTGGGGACTGTGGGCTCTCCAAAGCCACTGTTGTTTGTTCCTGTGTAGGTACTGGGCAGCCTGCACTGAAGAGATGGGCCAGACCTGGGCTGAGACAGGGCCACCTGCTCACACCTTACGTAGCTCACTTGTTGCTTCCCTCCTGGTTTTCATCTCTCCCGGCCAAGTCAGGACCAAACAGGGCCTCCTCCAATTTCTTCTTATGAAAGATTATATATATATATATATGTATACATACATATATATATATATAGAGGGGGGGGACTTCCTGCCCTTCCTTCTCTTGTCTTCACATCTATGTGTGGTGTGACCTTAGCAGGTTCCTCCATTTCGGGGGACACTCTACACTTTTCTCTCTCTAGTAATGCCTCCAGTCCTAGCCACATGTAGGTACCAAGAAAGAGACTCCTTTATGCAATAATGAATAAAGGCATGGAACTGAAACGTCCCTGGCTTCTGTATGCAGAGAACAGATATCTATATCACTATTTAAGCCCACAGTTCCTCCTGGTCTCTAGTGGTTCCCTCAGGCTGCATGAAGCCGGCCATCTCCTAGACTCCTCAGTTTCCCAAGGCTGCTTTGCCAACACTGTCGGCACTGCTCCTGGGTGTTTTCACAGCATCAACGGAGGGGATCCTATAGAAGCAGGTGGGCTGGTTAGGGAGACGTCGTAGGTGTACTGGTCGCTTGGCCCAGGAAGATGGCTGAGGGGAGGGAGAGGTGGGAGTTAGTCAAAGGAGAGAAAGCATGGCCTGAGCAGGAGAAAAACACAGAGGAAATGGAGCTTTGATGACCAGAAGCAAATTCACTGAGGTTGGCATTCAAATTACAAGCACATAACCAGGAAATGTCCATAGTCAAGACAACACCTTTCTTCCTACAAATGGTTTGAGATTGATTGGCACACGGTCACACAGTCGGGGCTGTGTTGTGACCCTGCTACCCAGTGGCCTCCAAAACCTGTGTCTTTTCATATACTGTGCTGGAGGGGTGCCTGTGCAAACTCTACAGGCCAGGTGGTTGGGGGCATCGGAATGTGACTCCCAGAGAATCTTAGCAAGATGGAAAGGGGGTGGAAAATGCTCCAGATGAGCTAACTTATCCCGAAGCTTTATGTGACTGCTGCCCAGTGGATGGAGAGGAGGAGGACAGAGCAGCAGCTGAGGCTGAGGAGGGCCCCAGCTAGTGCCTGGGCCAGCGGCTTGTTTTCTCAGCTGTAGAGGATGAACACAGCTTGAGCCTGGGCCAGCGGCTCGGCTGTCTTCTCAGCTCTCCACATCCTGCCTTCTGTGCTCCTATACCTAGCTGGGTGGCCCTGGTTCACTGACTGCTACCTCTCGGACACACACACACACACACACACACACACACACACACACACACACACGCACGCACGCACGCACGCACGCACACACACACACACACACACACTTTGCCCATCTTAACTTCATGGGGGCGGTAGAAGGCGGCCCTCCTTCGTGACAGTCATCTTCTCCTCGAGGTCTCTTCTGTTGGTTGACCCCTCACTGGTCGCCTGAACCTGGTAGTCGTCCCATCCCCCACAGCAGCTGTAGAGGCCGAGCCAGTCACCCACTGGCACATGAAATCAGCTCTTGCTCTTGTGTTTGCAGTCCATCACTGAGCTCTGGGGACTCATTCAACGAGTGTGACAGCTAGTGGCTTTGGGAGAAGCTTGTCATTCCAGTGTAAGAGCCTTCAGAATTACTCCTAAGCCCTGGATATCCAATGGGCACCCCCACCCCCAAATTCTTCTAGAATCTCAGCATCAGTTATGGCCAGACGGTGTAAATTACTCAGATCTTAGGTGTGCCTTCTCTGCCACCCTGTTCTCTTAGCACAAGAGACTCCAACCCCACAGTCAGAGTCTTGGTGTCACCGTCCACCTTTCTCCACTGTGTGTGCATCAGCCATTACTCACCAGCTGTCCCCAAGAGGTACTGAGGGGCACAGGCAGTCCCAGGAGTAGCTGTATGATTAGGTAGTACTCATTACAAATATTGCTCTGAATTCAGAAAGGAAAGAGAACTGATGTCTCAGGATCAGGAGCAGGGCTCATCCTCCCTGAGCACCCCAAGACCATCAGAGACTCAAGAGAGTGGTTATGCTTTATGTCCACGCAGTCATAAGTGGAGCCACACTGGGAGGCACATTTATAAGGACATAACCTTGCCATGTGCCAGGCAGCAGGAGGGGCCAACATTACTGATTATCTGCTGTGGCTGGTAGGTTTGCAAGAGCTGGTATTTATTGCTCATCTATTAAGTATCACATGGTAGAACAGGACAGGGGCACCTACTATGAACAAGGATGTCCTAGGCACATCCTGAGTGTATTAATGGGGTAAGTGTTAAAATTGGGACTATGAGTTCTAGCAGAAGGCTACAGGTGTCCTTCTTTGGCTACAACTCCAGGCAGCTAAAGCAAAGAGAGGGAGAATTTGTTTTCTGGCTCCACTAGTGTCTCACAGGCTTTCCTTTGGCACAGAAACACCCAAGCCTCAAGAAGGAACTGAGCCAGGGCTCGGGACACAGCTGGAGCCCATCTCCCTCTCTTGTCTAGGACCCTCTGTGCAAACAGAAATCCCAAGTTCAAATGGCAGAAGTGCCTTTTAATACTGCTCCTCAAAAGCCCCAAGCATAAATGAAATCTCCAGTCCATTTTTAAAGATTTAGTGTGTGTGTGTGTATATGTGTGTGTGCACGCGCGTGTGCATATGCACATGGATGAGTGTAAGTGCCCATGGAGTCCAGAAAACCACATCAGCACATCAGATCCTCTGGAACTGGAGTTTCAGGTATTTGTGAGCCTTTCTCCAGGACTATCCTCTGAGATAAACTATGATCATCTTCATGAGTTCAACTGTGCCCACTTGCTCCCGCCAACAGCTGGGCTGATTGACTGTGGTGCCAGAGGGACCCTCCCTGAGGATTCAGCTGCAACTCCCAACAAGGTGTATACAATTTTGGCCTAATTAGATGGACTTGGGGGGCGGGGATGGGGTGGGGGGATTTACTGTATATAGATAGAAGAGCCAGGAGAACAGTTCCATCTATGCATCCATGGGGGAGTTGTCATCCGTTCTGGGTGCAGACTTTCCATGGGTGCACCCTCCCACCCATGACCTCCACTGTTCTGTAAGGAAGTCTAATAAATTCATTGCTTCCTCAAAGTGAACTTGATTGGATTGTACCCCAGCTTGTCACTGAGACCTTCAGAGAGATGTAGGCATAGTTTACTTCTCTCCCAGGGAAGGAATTTTAGCAATCGAGCAGTTTGACATGTGTCCTGGGAACTGAACACATGTCCTCTGCAAGAATAGTGTCTACTCTTGAGCACTGCACCATCTCAGCCCCTCTGACTCAATCTTAAATTGCTCAAAGGGAAACTTTGGGGCCTAGTCTGAACCTGGGGCTTACCTATACTCAGTCAACTGTAGACACGGGGTTGAGCCACAAAATACAGTCCTAGTCCCTGGAGCTCTTATCTGGAAAGAGGATGGCATCGTAAGTGGGACCTATGCCACCCCCAAACATGTCTGCCTAGAGGAATGGTCAGTTACCAGGCAGAGGCATAAATCCCCTGATGCCCTGCAGCTAGCTACCCTGTGCTGTGTCCGTTTTGCTCCTAACTCTTCCTCCCAGATAACAGGAACATTAGCTCCCAGCTGACTCCTGTGTCCTCTGCACAATACCCGTTCACAAAAGGGGTACAATAACTTTTTGCAGAATAAATGGATTCTATCACTTAATTCCCCTCGTAATTATTCACTAAGTCTTGTTATGTGTGACAGAGAAAGAGACCTAGACCACCAAGTATGTCCTGGTTAGGTTTTGGGGATTTTGTTTTTGTTTTTGTCAACATGACACAAGCTAGAGTCACTTGAGAAGCGGGAACCTCAGTTGAGAAAATGTCTTCACTGATTGACCGGTAGGCAAGTCAATAGGCCATTTCTTGGTTGATGATTTGGGAGGATCCAGCACTCTGTGGGTGATTCTGTCCCTGGACTAGTGGTCTTAAGTGTTCATTGCAAGCAGGCTAAGCAAACCACAGGAAGTGAGCCAGTAGGCAGTACTCCTCCATGACCTCTGCATCAGCTCCTGTCTCCAGGTTCCTACCTGCAGTGATGGACTGTGATGTAGAAGAGTAAGCAAAATAAACCCTTTCCTTTCCCAAGCTGTCTTTGGTCATGGCGTTTTAACATAGCAGTAGAAACCTAGCAGGTTTTCTAAAATTACCTAACTAGAGCTGGGATTTGATACTTCAAGATCAGCCTAGCTCCAAAACCAGGATTCCACTCAGTCCTTCAACAACCATGAGTTGCACACATATTGTTCTAGCTCAATGCTGGAAACACAGCATTGAAAAAACAAAGCAAATCCTTCCTTGTAAAGGTCATACTTGAAGAAAAAGACCAACAATAATGAGTGTGTGGGGGTGATAAGGGGAAGGGCAAGGGAATAAAGGGAATAAGGGGATGAGAAATGCCGGGGAGACAGTGATTTAGACAGGGTAGCCAGGGAACTCGTCTGAGAAGGGGCTGTACACTACTGTCCTTGAAGCCCAATAGCCACCATCTTTGGGAGCTCAGCTGAGCCACTTGCAAAAGATCAAGCCAGCTAGGCTTGTTGACGTTTACATCTCCTCACAGGGGGAGCAGAGAGGGTCACAGGGCCCTCATCTTGAGTATCAGCCACTCCATACCACCTCTGTGGCATGTGTGTATCTCTGCTCTAATTACATGTGGCCTTCAGGAGTATATAAGCCAAGGAAGACTAGTGAAGGGGATGTTGTGGGGTATCCATCAGAGAAGACAGCTCAGACAGGGGTTTAAACCAATAGAAAGTCTTCATTAGCTAGTCACTGACTACACTGGATATTTGGGATCCTGTTGGGGTGAGCTTTTAAGTACAAAAAAGCATGTTCTGGCTTGGCATACTTCAGTTAACAAGAACAGTTAGCCAGAAGCAGAACTACAGAAGCCAAAAAGGTTAGTGTGTTTAGAGACGTTCCTAAGGCTATGGACTTGGGTAGATTAGGCCTTTGTTTTCATTTTGGCAAGTGATGCTGTCTATGTGCTGAGTTTTACAGCCTGAATGGTACTTCCATGGAGTCAGTTGTACGAAGGTCTGGGGACCTATTACAGGGGACTCCATCTATGCAACTGCAGGAAAGGCATCATCCCTACTGGGTAGACTTTCCAGTGTGCCTTTTTGGTGGGAAGTGCCCACATTCTAGTAACTTACCCATCATCTATGCTCTGGAAGTAATCCCAATAAACTCATTGGTTCCCGGAGTGAACTTTAGTGGAATCAAATCATTGAGACCTCAGGAGAAGGGGCAGACATAGCTTATATCTTCCCCTGGGAATGGATTTTAACAGCTGACGGTGACATTTGAGCTCATTCCTGAAGGTATGGATGGAATCATCTGAAAGGAGAGCAGACAGATTCTGAGGCAGGGAGATGACATCAAAGAGGGCCTCAAAGACCAAGCAAGGGCCCAGTCTGCTCATGGGAGGAACTCAGGCATGCAGTGGCGCTACCCAGGCTCACTTCAGCCTCTGGCTGAGCAAAGGTGGGATCTCCACAGAAGCAGGGAGATGCCCTTCAGCTCCTCTGCCCTTCCCCTGCACTCCCCCCTCAGACCTACACCTTCCTGCAGGTCCATTTCCACCTTCACCTCCTGACCCGCCATTCCTGCCCCTGTGAACTGCCCCTACAACCTCAGCTTTAGAAATAGGGTTCAGCACTAACTTTGAACCACTGACCCTCCCACTGAGGAAGCTTTAGGCCGTTTCCTCCTCAACAGACTCCAAAGGGAAAGAGAAAAGGAAGAACATGCTCAGAGACTGGTTCCCAGGCCCAGCTCTGTCAGCAGGAGACTAGACTTTCCTAGAGACCAGGATATCCCCAGTGTTCAGATCGAATCCAGGCTGGCAAGCTCTGCTCTCCCTAGCATGTTTCTTATAAAGGGGGAACATTTATAATGTTTTGCAAAGTGGCAGGATTAACACCCACAGTGTCACATGATGTCCCCCATTTTCAGCCTGCACTGCAGCAGTCAACCAACCCTAAACTTTTCTTCAGGGAAAAGTCAGCCAGAATTGTGCTCCCCAGTAAGGACACAGCCACAGGTAGAGGTGGTTCCAGGGTACTTGGTGTGCAGCTAATTTGAACCGAGATACACTTTGTATATATAATAAAAGACTTTTAAGGAGCACATTAATACCTCCTATAATGAAATATATTTTAGAATTCAAATACATGTATTTTTGTAGCACTGGGGATGGGAACCTAGTGCTGAGCTACCGCTGGGCTAACAGCCCAGCAAATACATTCATTTTTATGTGTTAATTCTGCCTGTGTCTTTTGAAACAGGCTATCAGGAAGGTTTAAATTACATAAATAAGTTACATACATATACACACAAAGCAGGCTGTTCTGTGGTTAGGAGGCTCCGTGTCATCTGCACAGGACAAAGCAAAGAGAAAGCCAGGCCAGGCAATTATCCTGGAAACAGTTCATGGGAAGAAATAACCTGGATTTCATGTTGCTGTTGTTTTGGTTTCTGTGTGTGTGTGTGTGTGTGTGTGTGTGTGTGTGTGTGTGTTTGTCTTGGGATTTTTTCTTTTTATTTCATACATATCAAAAGAAGAGAGGAAAAGATATACTAACATATATTGTAGAGTAGAGGATATGTGACAGTTCACACACCCTCCAGCCAGCCACCCTAAGGCCACTTGGGGCACGGTGTTTGAGAACCTGGTTGGCCGACTGGAAGCAGAGCCCTGAACTACACTCCTGTTCCCCTTCTGAACATCTGCATTGTCCAGACGCATCCCTGAGGCACTCGAGGCCCAGCCTAGGCCCAACTTGTCTTTCTGGTTTCATTCCAAATACTCAAGGCTCAAAATAGTCACCTGTTAGTTCACACCCCCTCCCCCTGTTTTTCGAGACAGCTCTGGCTGTCATGGAACTCACTATAGAACAGGCTGGCCTGCCACTTTGGCCAACAGGGTTTTTGTTTTGTGTTGTATTGGTTGTCTTTTTAAATAGTATTTTTTTTATTTTATATGCATTGGTGTTTTGCCTGCAAGTATGTCTGTGTGAGGGTGTCAGGTCCCCTGGAACTAGAGATACAGATAGTTGCGGGCCACCACATGGGTGCTAGGACTTGAATCTGGGTTCACACCCTTAGTTAGCCGACTGCTCAACAAACGTTTTTCAACTGCCCTGCACATACAGGCTACAACAGAGTGCTGGCTGCTGAGATGACAGTCCATCTGTCCCTCGTTAGTAGACTGGTGACTATGCCTAGACTGGCTGGGGATACACATCTGGGGGATGGGGGACGTGAAAGCTAGCTAAAGGACAATTAAGAGCATGAAAAGCAGTTGTGGATGAAGGTAGGGGATCAGGAGCACTGCCAAATCGGCCAGGTCAAATGGGGCATCTCAGCTGCATCATTGGCAAGATCAGGCAGAGGCAGCCCTGAGTTCAAAGGGCAGGTGGAGGACAGTTGATAGAACTGAAGGACACTCTGACTGGAGGGCAAGGGCTTCTGGTGCCTTGGAAGGGGTGTGGCACTTACACAAGAAGTGCTTACTCTTGGGAGCTCCAGCTATCCTCCTGAAAGGGCCTCTCCCTAACCATGGGGCAGGCTGACCCTGCTACCCCATGCCCAGTTGAGGCCTCAAGAAAAAGAAACCAAGGGCTTACTGGGGGAAAGTTCAAGATGGAGCTACCAGGGCAAGGGTTTGGGTATCACTGATGTTGGGCTATGGTGCTGAGGCTGGCTTTGAGGCTGGCTGAGTTGGATGTTGGACGCCTAGGCTCAAGGATAGAAGTTAATACCGGGGCTGAGGACACAGCTGGGATTTAGAACTAAAGTCCAGAATCAGCTGGAGTAAGGAACTGGAGCTGAGGTTTCAGACCAGGTGCAAGGCTTCCCGGGGGCTATCCTCCAGCCTCGGCCTCTCAGAGCACAAAGATTACAGGCCTAGACTGTAATCACGTGCATGCTTGGTAGTAGGTGCTCAGGGAGGGGCTAAGGGGAAGGTGCGGTTGGATTTGAGGGAGGTGGGCTGGGGCTCAGACAGGGCAGAGGGACAGCATTCTTTGTTCCTGCTGACCGAGTCTACATATTGTGTTCCAGACCGAACAGCAGCAGACGGGAGCCCCTCCCTTCCCGGGAATGTCTCAGCCCCACAGAAGGCGCCGGGCCACGTCAGCCAATTGGCTCTGGCCCTGCCCTGGAAACAGCACCTGTTAATCCCCCCTCCTTCCAGCATACCTGGATGCAGGTTAGGCAGGTGAAGCGTCTCCCCGGAAACGGAGCTAGAGCGCCCCACCTGCTGGGTCCTGCCTGCTCAAATCGGATCCAGCACAGCCAGACTTCTCGTGAGTGCCCCACACCTCCCCACCCACCTTTCCACTGATTCTGCTACTGGGAACCTCCACCCACCTTGGGGTCGTTCCCCCAGTAGGCCTGTGCCAGCACCTTCACACCAGCATGCCACTGTGCGGGGGGAAGGGGGTTGTTGCTGGGACAGACTCCGCCTATTGCCCCGCCCCCAACACCCGTGGGGGCGTGGGCATCTTCCACGCCCACTTTGCGTGCAGGGGCAACCCCCGCAGAAGACAGAGAGATAGTGGAGTCAGAAAACTGTCTCTTTGGAGTAAAATCCGGTTCTTAGTTGTATGGTCCGTGTGGTCTCCAGACCTAGGCTCTCTGAGTCTTTCTTACTAAAAAAGTATGTTTTGAGTCCCTTTGCCCCATGGGAGTCTGGAAAGGAAGGTATCAGATGACTCCTTCCCCTCCTCAAATTAAACTCCTCTGTCCTCCCTTCTCAGATAAGGGCTCTAAGACGAGAACTGGGGCTTCCCTGTCCCACTCAAGCCCCTCCTGGACTAGCAGCTGGCACCTACAGGATCTGTCTCTCCTGCTGCAGGAAGCCCGGCTCCTGGCCGGCAGCGCTAGCTTTATTTTTACCTGGTGTGAGTCATGCTATCTGTCCTCTAGGGAACAGGTTAAATGAGTAACACTGTTAGATCCCTCCCCACATTCCCACGGTGGGAAGGACTAAGCTGAGGTTCAAATCCAGAGCCCTCCTTTGCTGCCTTAGAGAACACGTGGAGGGTATAGTGGGGGTAGACCACTGCGGAGCAATCAGGCCAGTGAGGGAGGGGGGGCAGTTCTGGGCGAGAACTGAGGAGGGACAGGACAAGATCTGTTTAGAGGCAAGAGGCAGCCCCTGAGGACTCGAATTGGCAACAGCAGAGGGAGTTGAGGAGCCTCGAGGTGAGCTGAGGGGTGCTGAGGGGTGGTAGTATCGTCTTGAGGAAGCAACACAGGAGGAACAGGTTAGGGTAAGATGAGGAACTTGGGTTGGGCCTTGTTGCATCAGAGATGACTTTGGCCCAGCAGGAAAATCAGCACTGGAAAGAGATTTGGAGCCTGCATCTTTTATTCCAAAACAAAGATAGGGTGGGACTAGAGGAAGAAGTGTGTGTTAGGGGTCAGGTGCTAACCCACAGAGAAAGAAGGCTACAGTCCTCTGAGAGAAAGGTCAGGGTCAGCCTGCTGGTTCCAGAAGGGTTAAGTCACCAGCCTCCCCTCCCCACAACTCCTCCCATCCAGGACCCAGCAGTGACAGCTGAGGCCATGTGAGTCTGATCCTGAATGAGGCTTTATCCGACTGTCCTCCGTCCAGTCATCCACTGTGGCACCAGCTCCCTCGGACAGCCTGGATGACAGAGACGGCCAGCACTAGAGAGGTCAGGGGCTGGGCAAGGGGATTCCTTGAAGAGGAGGGGGGGGCTCTGTGATGGAGGAAGCTGCTGGGGCCAGGGGAGGTGCTTTCCCAAGGTCCAGTGCTGGGGCTGCAGTTTTTAGGGACAAGTCCTATAGAGCCAGGGGAAGATTCTCAGGTGTGTGTGTGTGTGTGTGTGTGTGTGTGTGTGTGTGTGTGTGTGTGTGTGTGTGTGTGTGGTTTCCTTAAGAGGCCCAGGTGAGGCTGTGAGGGCTAGACGGGTCGGAAATAACATGTGGTCCTGTCCTGCAGGTGATGGTAGCCATATTCTGGACAGAGAGGAGGAGACTGCGCCTCTAGCTGCCAACCAGGTGATGGGGACACCCGGCCATGATAGACACCCTATGAGCCCTGACATTCATCTTCTAACCTGACCCTGCCTGACCAAGCCATGTCCCAAGAAGCCTCAGTGGCCAGGGGGCTGCCCCCAGATGTGCTGGCAGAGCAGGTGGAACTATGGTGGTCCCAGCAGCCCCGGCGCTCGTTGCTCTGTTTCTCCGTGGCCGTGGGCCTTGTGGCAGGCTGTGGGGCAGGTGGTGTGGCGCTGCTGTCCTCCACCAGCAGCCGCTCTGGTGAATGGCGACTAGCCGTGGGCACTGTGCTCTGCCTGCTGGCCCTGATGGTTCTGGTGAAGCAGCTGATGAGCTCTGCCGTGCAGGATATGAACTGCTTACGCCAGGCCCAGCACGTGGCCTTGCTGCGCAGTGGTGGAGGGGCCGACGCCGTCGTAGTGCTGCTCAGTGGCTTTGTGCTGCTGGTCACTGGCCTGACCCTGGCTGGGCTGGCTGCTGCCCCGGCCCCAGCTCGGCCACTGGCTGCCATGCTGTCCGTGGGCATTACCCTGGCTTCCTTGGGCTCAGTCTTGCTGCTGGGTTTGCTGCTGTATCAGGTGGGTGTGAGTGGACACTGCCCCCCGATCTGTACAGCTGCACCCTCCACCCAAAACAGCCACGGTGGTAACAGCAGCATCTTTAGCATCTCAGGACAGTTGTCCTCTGGCCAGCGTCATGAGACCACCTCCAGCATTGCCAGCCTCATCTGACAGAGATGGAGCCCTTCTTCCCATGACCTGACTCAGTGTCCCCGGAACTTGTGGCAGGCACAGGTTCATGCATGTATGTGTGCCCCCCTGCCATGGGATTGCATGGTATGTGTTTAGGAGCATGTGTGTACACACACATCCACACCATGAGGAGGTGAGTGATGGATGCCTCCTCGTGGCTGAAATTTGTGTCCATGGACTGTCATGCTCTCTGCCTGGTTCTGGGGTCTCTAGGCACATCTGGAATTCCTGAAGACTTGACCTGTGTTTCCAAGACCTTACAACTCCAGCCTTGCCCTATGACATCATCGAGGATCTCCACAGAAGTGCTCGTTGCCTACCCATGAATACCCCCAGTGAATGCTCTTTAGAAAGAGCAACTCTTGGCAAAGCAGAGGGAAATGGCTTCCTGATGAGATGGACCTGGACCGGAAATGCCTTTGAGCTTGTAACCTAGCAGCTGGGGCCTGGGTGAGGTGACTATTAGCCTCTCTTGCTTCTGTTCTTAGAACAGTGTTACCACTGATTTTTAGGATTAAATGCCATTGTGAATGACATGTCTGGACTCCTGGAAAACGTGCAATAAAAGGGTGACTACAGTTGTTGTTGTCTTCACCTCACCATCTCATCTCAGAGACCCTCATCCCCCAACCCTATAGCCCACTCACTTCAGGCTCTGATGCCATAATGTCTTAGGTAGACCTGAGGTTTCTCTTCTCATGAGAGAAGTGGGAAGGTCAAGGGGGTTACACAGTAGGTTTCTGGACCCAGAGAAAGTAGGGGAACCTAGTCCTTCACATTTGTTCACTTGCTAATTCAAAGGGAGATTTAACCACAGGTATTGGTGACTGTTTCTCTAGAAATGTGCCCCCTGCCCTATACAGTCAAGCCCTGAGGGATGGCTTGGAGGGTATGTCTCCCTCCCCTACCTGTGAAACAAGGTCAGCCTACAATCCGTGTGGCCCCTGGACCAGTTGACCTGCTTCTGGGTTCCAGGCACAGAAGAGGTGTTGGAGCCCTTCTAAGGCAGTAAGTCACTTTCTGCTTGGAATCACTGTGGAAGGGATCTCTCTTTCTGTGGTATGAGTTTCCAGGTAACAAGAACGTAAGTGGCTGCTTTTGCCACTTCCAGCTACACAAAGTGCAGACTATGTGAAGACACTGGAGACCTGTCTCCTAAAAGATGCAGATTCCGGAGAAACGTGAAGTGTCAAATTGATGCTATAATGCAGCGTTTCTCAACTGTAGGTCAAGACCCATTAGGGGTCAAATGACCTTTTCACAGGGGTCACATATCAGATATCCTGCATATCAGATATTTATATTATGCTTTATAACATTAGCAAAGTTACAGTTATAAAGTAGCAAAGAAATAATTTCATGGTTGGGTGTCACCACAACACAAGGAACTGTATTAAAGGGTCACAGCATTAGGAAGGTTGAGGACCACTGCTATAAAGGATTTACTAATAAACTCACTTGGGAAATACTAAGTTACACAAAGTAGAATTTAGCTAAAGGAGCACTGCCTCCAATATGAAGATAAGTAGCACAATTTGAAATTTTGTTCTTTGTTCTTTGTCCTCAAGCCCACCTTCTGACACAGACATACATGTGAGCCAGAGTGATCATCATAAAACTAAAATGGAAATATACCTTAAAATCTCTACCTTAAAATTTTTCCCTAATGCCAAGAGGTCTTGTTCTCGCAGCCTCGAGAACCAGCCACACCCAACTGAACTCCTTAATCCCCCACCTTCAAGGCCAGATGCTGCTACATCCATCTATTTCCGTGTGTTTCGACAGTCTCTCATTCATCCCAGCCTTTGCCCTGCTTTCCATCCTTATCCCTTAAGACCCCCTTCTCTGAGGAGCCGCATTCTGGAGGGAGTCCTCCCTGACCCTCTCCCTTAAATTGGCGATTTGCTCTTTTTTTGGTGTCCACAGCACCCTCAACTGCGGACGCTAACCACAGCTCATGATGGGTGTGATGACTCAGTCAGGGGCAAGCTCATCCCTACAGAGTGTGTTTCACTTTTGGTTGTCTACGGATCCCTTGTTCCCAACACGGACCTAATATGTGGCAGGTGCTTCGTTCAGATGGAAGAGCTGTAGCTTGGGCAGACGGCGATGTATGCACAAGGGACAGTGAGAGCCACCTTTAGCCAGGAAGGGAAGTTAGGCCGAGCACACCTGGCTCCCAGTCCTTCCTTCCTGCCTTCCCGAGGTCCTCAAGTCTCCCTGAGAAATTCTCACTCTTCCTGGTTTCCCAAGAGATTCAGTCCCAGACCAACTCCCTGGAGGCAAGGGACCACAGAACACCCTTCCACCTGGAATAAGCCAGGGGTCCCTTTTCCTTCTGGCTGAGATAGGCCTCTTATCTTTTTAATATTTCTTTTAAGAAACTGACGGAATTCAGAAACACAGAGGCTTGGAAAACAGGAAGGCGGCACACAGCTTAGACATCTCACCAAGCATGTGGCAATGGTGTCAAGCTCCCAGGGGAGGCTGTGAGGGAGAGAACAGAGCATGCGCCTCAGACGGCCCACGCTATAAGACGTTGGCCATCGACCCAGCAGCCCAGCAGTACATCTACCACCAACGCCATCGCTAAAGCGCCGGCAGCCCGTTCCTGCCTTCCACTGCCTTGTTCCAAGCATCTCACTCAGTCGACATCACCACCAGGAGCCCACTAGCCTGCCCACTCTCTCCAAAGCTGTTTCTTCTCGAAGACACTTGCCCCCACTGTCTTCACCTCCCTTGTCTTTTGGTTAAGACTCTGTGGCCCAACTCTCACCCTTTGTCAGGTTCCTCGACCCCTGAGTTCTGCCTTTGCTCTCAGTAGAGCCTCCTCCATAAGATGAACCCACCCCCTGCCTTCACTGCCCCTACCCCCTACCCCATCCAGCACCCTGCAGTGAACAGTCCTCAGAGAAATTCACCCTGGATTCACAGCCCACCCCTGTCTCTAAAGCTGACTCAGCCCCCTGCCACTACACAAACACACTACAAGAGATTATGGGAGGCAGCCTCTCTTCCTCCCCTTTGGGAGCCCAGGGAGGAATTTAGACTTTGTCCTCAAGACAATGGAAAACATCAAAAGATTTTAATCCAGGGAGGACTGTGGCTAAAGTTAGTTAGACAGCTTGGCTCCTCCGTGGAGGTAGAGATTAGCCTTAGGAGGAAAAGAAGACACGGTTAAACATCCCAGAAATGCTAAGCTGAGGTCTCAGCTGACCCTGGGGGATGAGAGGTTGGGAAGAGGAGCTCAGGCAGGAGAAGAAAGCAAAGGACTTTAGCAATTTAGAGGCAGCAGAGAGGGTGTTTGAAGCTGAATAAAGGTAAGAATGGAGGCTAGAAAAGAAGTATCTAGCAAGGGCTTCAGGGGTCTCTTAACAGGTGAGCCACTTTCTTATGACCAAGAGGACACTAGAGAAGGTTGTTTCCAATTTGGTAGTATGCATATATGTGTGCTCTGCGCTCATGTATGAATGGACACATGTGGACATGTGCGCATGTGAATATGGGGCTATTAGGTTGACAATGGGTGCCTTTCTCCATCTCTCTCCACCTTATAAATTGAGGAAGGGTCTATCCCTGAACCTGGAAGCTTGCTGTTTGGGCTAGTCTGGCCAGTGGCTTGACTTGGAGCGTCCCTGCCTGCACTGAGCTCCGGGGATCCAAAGCAGTACTTAGTCTTTCCTGGCAAGTATTTTACACTGGAAGTCATCTCCTAAGCCACAGTGAGGATTTTAAATGGAGAAAGGCCTGGTCAGAGTCGTGTGTTCAGGTGAGCATATCTCTGCAGATAGTGGATTGCATGGGGCAAAAGTGGAGCTAGGGAACTCACTGGGAAACCAATTCACAGTCCAGATGTAAGGTACCAGGACTTAGGTTAGGGGCTGCTCAGATAAAGCTCCAGGATGCAAGGGATGCTGGGAAAGTAGGACCCACAGAGGAGAATGGATGGGAGAGATGTGGTTGATTATCACCTGAAGATGCAAGCTAGAAGTCAGCCTTGGAGCAGGGAAGGCAAGCAGCTGCAGGACACAGGGTGGATGGACCAGGCTTGCTACTCCTTTCGGTAAAGATAAGGAATAAGGTGATGAAGGTGATGTAGGTGAGTTTGTGTGTTTGAAGCAGAAAACTGAGGGCCATTCTCTTGCAAGGTGGAGGCAGTATTAAAGGGCTGCTATGGAAGGAAGGAGACTATAAATAACTGTTAGGCAGAAAGTCAGCTCTAGGAGGGACTGACCATTGGTCTAAATAGGACATAAAGAACAATAGGCCCTCCAGCTGGGCCATCTCAGAGACCCTGAGCAGGGTGTAAAGACTGCATGGTGTTGGTGTCTCCAGCCTGAGGGACTTCCTTGCCAACAGAGCATGCACAGAATGCTACTACCTTCCTGCCCAGTAAACTTTTCAGCACTGGGGGACACTTAAATCCCTATACATATTCTTGCATTTTATGCATCTTTTTAGAATAGACTGAATTCTGGGTAAAATGGGCTTCTGAGAAAAATACACCCATTCCCTACAAGTTCCAGGCCTGGGGGAGGCATAATGGAGGGAAGAAATATGAGCCCCATTGCTTGCTGGGATCTGGGATGTGGCCTCTCATCTGGGGGCCCTTTCTGAAGACCGTGTTCATGTTTCCTTGCTTGCTAGGAGTACACTCTTCATGGCTCCCTGTAGTGCCTGGTCCTGTTGGAATTCTCTTTCTGGAGCACAAGAATGGAAATTTCTCCTGGGGTTGAAACCAGCAGAAACCGGAGGCCTAGATTCCTAGAAGCTTTGAAAGTTCACCTGAGGCATCATCCGAGGCCAGGCTGCAGCCTTGGGGAGGGGCTGGCTGCGGGCTGGAGTTTCACTGGGACATTCGATGGAGAGATGATGGGACAGGAAAACTGAAGTACTGGGGAAAGGTTGACATGATGGACCCTGAAGTCCAAACTTGGGGACAAAGAGGACCAGTGGGAGTTGGGGTGGGGGCAGAGGTAGGCAGAGCTCTGTAACTTCAAGGCCCATGTGATCTACATAGCAAGTTCCAGGCCAGTCAAGGCTACATAGTAAGACCCTGTCTCTAAATACATAAATAAGTATCCAAACTGGCATTGAGCAAAACACCAGCAGCAGGTGAGGTAGGAAGAGAAACACGATACTCCCCCTTCCAAGACGACAGTAGAGCTCTACATCCTCAGGCATGTTTCCTAGACATCTGAACACTTCAAGAATGTTCTCTTGAAACTGCCCCTGATCTAGTCACAGCCTACACAAGACCGCAGACTGCCTGGTCTTCCTAGAGGAGCTTCCTTCCGGCGCCAGGCAACCTGCACACACGCCCCCAGACTCAGTGCCCTGGATGTACTCTTGGAAGTCGCTACCACGAGGCTTGCCCATTCTCCCATGCCGGTCTGTTCTCCCAACCTAGAGCTTACACCCCAAATCTCCTGGGCCTTCGTGTGCCGCCCCAGTGTGGAAGGCAGTCGGGCCAGGCCAGGTGGGAAGGAAACCCATACCCAGAAGTGTTCTTGTCTGAATCTGCATTACTCCTACTTCCAGGTGAGATTATGGATGATGGCATCAGTTGCTGAGTGCAGTGATGCCTGAGCCTCAGCCTGTGGGTCTGTACAGTACAGTTACCTGCCCAGCAGAGCTGTCAGGAGAAGTACAGTACTGATGCTGTTCCTGCTGTTCCTTTTACTGTTTTTACAGCATCCGAGGTTGTCTTTCAAATTCAATGCTATCCTCACCAGACCTTCTGAGTCAGCAAGAAGTAAACGACAAGGGAGGAGACTTAGCAAGCTCCTCCCCCAGAAGGCTGGCTGCCTATTGTAGAGTGTCAATCATTAGGGTTCTAGTAGCATGTACGCTCTATTGCTCTGCTTTATGTATAGAATTCGGTCTCATCAACAACAGTATTTAGTGAATAACATTACAATACCCATACAACTCCAATACTGAGAAATTGGAACAGAGAAGTTCAATAGTTTGCCCAAGGTCACACAGCAAGCCAGCATGCCAGAACTGGGATTTGAATTAACCTGTGCTCTCAAATCACTGCTAGGATGCTGTTAAGAGGTGTGTGTGTATGTGTGTGTGTGTGTGTGTGTGTGTGTGTGTGTGTGTGTGTTCTCTTCCAAAATCAGGTCTGAACTGGAGGCTCTGGTGAGGAGTGGGCAGTGGCAAGCTAGGGGCAGGACTTGAAGCCAGAAGAGGCCGGGTGAGAGAGAGAGACACTTGGGTTAATGGAGTTATCCTCCTGCTTCATGCTTCAGCACCTTTGTCCCTCGAAGCCTGTGACCCAGGTCAAGTTTCCACCCTGTGCCTGGAACTAAGCATGTAGAACACAGGGACAGATTGTCCCAAAGAATCAAGGGAGGCCGGAGGACAGGGTCCAAAGCTCTGTGACTTCAGGGTTTTGCTCAGCCAGGCCTAGCATCCAACAGCAGGTTCTGAGGGGAAGCCAGGCTTGTGGGACTCAGCGCTGTGGGCAGGAAAAACAACTGCTAACTTTGAACCAGGCGCTTACCTGGTCCGAGGTCCTTAGAGATTCCAGCCCATGTCCTGAAGCACATGTAACGATGTGGGCAGTCGAGCCACTTAGGTCCAGAGCTACATTCTGGGTGGTTCTTCCTCAGCTGAGGCCGGGGCAGGGAGCAGGTCAGACCATGCTTGCGGCAGCTCTCTCAGAGGCCAGGATGTGTGGGTAGCCCCCCTAGGCCCATTCTTCAGGAGCCCTCCTTCAGGGTCTCAGGCTGTGGAAACTTTAGTTCTTCCCGGGTTTTCAAGAGTCAAACCATCTCAGAACTCAGGAACAGCTGGCAACTCAGACCCCATGAGCCAGACTTCTCTTCTCTAGCCCCTCCTCCCCATCTCCAGGCCAGGTCCTCCTTTTCAGACAACCCCTGAAATGTGCTCACCAGACACTCCTCCCTCAGAGTCTCCTCTCAGTTGCCCTCTCAGGCAGTTTCATAGATTTCTATTTCATACATACAATGTGGCCTCTAGGATCACATTGCTGACACCACCAGACCCAAGTCCCCATGCTGGACAGCACTCAGATACGTCCTCTATCCCAGGTATTCCCTGTGGCAATCCTTCCTCTGTCTTGGAATGACCATTTCCCAGTCTGCTTTCCTGTTACTGTACCCAGATGCCAAGCCAGAAACCAGGGCAGCTCCCCAGGTTGAGAGTCAGTGCCTTCCATCAACTCTATCCCTTCCTGTTTCTGGAGCCTGCGCTTTGCCCTAGGCTTGTCGTCCGTCTGTCTCTCATGCCGCTCCCTCGCCGCTCTGCAACCACAATGGCTTAAACTGTTATTCAGTGATTGTTAGTTTGTCCATGTATGTGCATGTGTGTGCACAGCACTCATGTGGAGGTCAGAGGACAATTTTGTGGAGCTGATTCTCTCCTCCCAACTTTATGCGGGCCCTGGAGTTTGAACTCACATCATCACCGGGCTTGCATTCTGCTCTGCTTGCAGGATCCAAGCACCTTTACCAGCTATACCATCTCACAAGGCTTACAAGGGCTTTTCTATCATAATTCTATCATTTTGAAGAAGGAGGAAAAAAGGACACAGATGAGCCTCAGCTGTTCTCATCTGGAGTGTGAGCTCTCTTTCTCTTTCTCTTTCTCTCTCTCTCTCTGTCTCTGTCTCTGTCTCTCCCTCTCTCTGTCTGTCTCCCCCTCCCTCCCTCTCTCCCTCCCTCTCTCTCTCTCTCTCTCCCCCCCCTCTGTCTCCCCCTCCCTCCCTCCCCTCTCATTCTGGGCTTCTGAGGCCCTAACCGGGATTGTCCACTTGAGCTTCGCAGCCGATTAGGGCCTCTCAGATGCCTCACTGCGGCTCACCTGAAATCCCTGCCTTCTCAAGCCCCTCTCTGCATCAGTCACTTCCCCCCCTCTCGTCTCCTTCTCTGTGGCCTTTTCCTTCAAGGGCTGACACTGGGTGGACACAAGCATGGTGGCTGCCTGTCTTGTCTGAAAATGATCTGGAACAGACAATCACCACCTCCCCATCCCCAATCTCATGTGTGCTACAGGACCCTGGCCCTTGCATCCCCCAAGTCCTGGCTGGTTGGATCAGTGGTGAATTCATGGACTGAGTTGAACCCGTGTCTTGCCTGATTGCTTGGAACTTAGACTCAAGGTTTTGAAAGTTCTAGGTATAGAGAGTCACATCAATGTCTCTCTAAATGACAAAGCATTATAGGTGCAGTGCCAGTCACCAGTCACAAGGCTAGCACAAACTGCTGCTTCCTGTCTCCTAAATCAGCAACTACCTTGCTGGTTTAGGATCCTTCCCCAAACTCCTTTCTATTGCTTATAATGAAAGAAGCTTAATTCAAGCCCCGCCTATCTCAAGGTGGCCTGTCTGAGCCATCCTTCCCTCCCAGTCACTCTGCCTGTTTGTTTGTTACGAATGTGCCACTGCATGTGTACGCAGATCAGAGGGCGGCCCTTTGGAGTCAGTTTTTCCTTTAGACCAGTTGTTCTCAACCTGTGGGCCATTACCCTTTGGGGTCACATCAGATACACTGCATCTCAGATATTTACATTGTGATTCATTACGGTAGCAAAAACATAGTTATGGGATAGCAATGAAATAATGTTATGGTTGGGGGTCAGCACAGCATGAGGAACTATATTAAAGGGTTGCAGCATTAGGAAGGTTGAAAATCACTGCACTAGACCTTCACAGGGATCAAATTCACGTTGTCAGCTTTAGCAACAAAACCCCTTATCTTCTGAGCCATTTCACTGGCCCAGTAAAACATTATTTTAAGCCAGGTGGTGGTAACACACACCTTTAATCCCAGGCTAGGGAGGCAGAGGCAGATGGATCTCTGTGAGCTTGAGGCCAGCCTGGTCTACAGAATGACGGGACAGCTAGGGCCACAAAGAGAAACCCTTGGGGCTGGTATTTTAATGGGAGTTACCCTGGAGGAGAGGAGATCTGGGCAGCATATTTCAGCTATTAGCAATATGAGAGAATTTGGATGAAAGAAAATGCAAAAGGAAGGACTTCTCCTCTTAATCCAAAATGAAAATAGATTTATTAATTCCTGTGAAAAACATGATATATTATAACCAAGTTACATACTTCATTTTGATAAGAAAAAAATTTCAGTAAAGAAATTTGGCAGTCTTCTACTGCTGGGACATGTGTGAAATCCTGGGACTTGTGTGTAAAGGCCGTCATCATGAGGAAGGACAAAGCAGCTCTGGTAAAAACTTAGTGAAGTAGGGAGGAGGGAGGCAAGGAAAGGAGGTCCAGAGCCCTGCTCACAGGGGCCTTCCCCACATCCATGCACCATCAGGGTTTACCCTGGGACAGCGGGGAGCCAGGGAGAGAAACTGAGAAACAGAATTGTCCCTTTGGCGACTAGTGTCAAAAAAACAGACCTCTGGTCAAACTTTAAGTATTAGCCATATCTGGCCCTGACACTTGAGGCATCGCTGTCTGTAAAGTGCCAGGCATGGAGGGAAGTGGGGAGTGTCCAAAGATGGGGCTCACAGAGAGAAGTGGTCCCGGCTGCCTGCTGTCTCCATCTGACCAGCTCCAGGCTGAATGTAATTGTCCTCGATGAAGCCATCATCATCTTCATCTTCACCCACCTGTGGGCGGTTCCCACCCCCAGTTCCAGACAGTGGGCGGTGCCGATAGCTGGCACGGTACCGGTGGCAGAGGTGGCACTTGGCAGCCAGGGCAATGAGTATGGAGAGGACCACCGCCCCCAGCACAACCCCTACCAGCACAGGCCATGCCTGACCCCCGGTGCCCAGTCCAGGGGTCATTGGTGGTGTGGTGCTGTCCTCTGAGAACACAGCTGTAAGGAAAGAGACGGTGTTACTGGAGGCCCCCAGATAGGGCTCCCAGCGGAAACTGAGGGGACCCAACCCATCCCTAACCATCATACCTGTCTACCACTCACTTTGGTTTGCTTCAGTCATGGAGAGGCCTGATGACATCGGTGAGCCTTAGCCTCTGTCAGAAAAAAAAAAAAAAACCTGGCTCCAGGAACACCCCAGGCTCCAGGCAGCCCTGGGGCACAAGTCCTGAAAAATATAGAGGTATAGGCATCAGGATTAGATCGAGGGTCCTGTAGACAGGACCAAGGCCCACACCACTGGCCTGTAGAAGAGAACAGAAGCTGTCATGAATGGAGCTGACACAGAAGTGTTAATGTCCTTAGTAAGCACACCTTAGGATTTAGGCACTAGCCCTGTGCTCACAAAAATCCCATGATACAAATATAAACACTATCCCTGGCTTACTGATGAGAGTACAGAGGACCCCGAGTAGAAATGATTCAACTGAGGCCCCAGAATTTGAACTCAGGTCTCTGACACCAGAGCCCAGTCTGGCCTAGAAGCAGTTCAATAGCAATTGCATAGTGCTGTCCAGCTCGGAGCAGACCCTGGGAACATACGGTTGTCCTCCAACAGCCGGGACACCCGGCTCCTTGTCAGGAGCCTCCCCTACCATACACCTTCCCGAAGCCTCCACCCACTCACCTCTACTCACGGGGGCCCACAGTCTGCCACCACCGTGGGGTTTACACTAGGGAATTATTGCAGATGACCACCTGAGCAGGAAAGATCACAGTGAGGACCCTGGGACTCAGGGCTGGAAACCCCGAGGGATGAGCATCTGAGCCAAGGGAGTAGCTGGAGGAGATCACATGTATGGGATTAGACTTGGACACTCTGAAGGAGGTCAACAGTGTGTGGGGACACACATGTGACCCCCGAGGAATGGCTAGGAAAGGAAGAGCAAGAGGACTGAGGCTGGGCAGTGTCTGCAGGAGGCGGCCAGAGTGTCCCTGGACAGAGTGGTCAGGCAAGGGACTGAAGCCCCAGCTTAGGGGTGTGTTCAGCCACACTCCTCAGTGTGACACCCAAAGGGTGCCCTCACTCATGATGTGCCCCACCTCCCCCTCCAGTAACTCAGCCCTCCTTCCTATCCTCTGCCACAGCCGTATCCAAGCTACCTAACTTTGTCCTTATAGCCAGTCTCCAGCCAAAATCTGTAACAGGTGTCTAACCACCTCCGATGCACTTCCCAGAGCCAACTCTGAGCCTATCACCTGAGGGAACTCCTTCCACTGCTCCCCGTATGTCCTGTTCTTTGTTGGGGGACTCAAAATCCAGCATGGAGCCCTCAGGCCAAGCCCTCCTTCCTGGCACAGAACCTCCCCGCAAGGCGCGCGCGCAGGCAGGCACGTGCACGCACCCCTCATCCACCCTTCAGCTCTCTGAGTTTTCAGCCCTCCCTGCTGGCAAGGTTACTGCAGGGCCCACAGGTGACCTCTGCCTCATCAGCATCCAGTCAGATCTGGCCATCACCAGCCACACGCTTCCCTGAGGCAGAGGAGTGAGTAGGCTAGTGTATGCCTGGTTGGGGGCAGGGAGAAGCCAGCTTCAGCAAAGGCAAGCCTCAGGAGACATACCTAGTTCATTCATTGGCAAACGATCTCTGGTTGCCTTCTGTGGACTTCTCCCTAGGCACTCAGTACTCAAGAAACAAGAGTTTGTTGCACCTTGCAGTGAGCTCAAGTAGACTTTTTAAAGGTTTTGCACCTACTCCCTTCCTCCCCTGCTCTGCTCTGCAAATTCTTTCCAAAGATATACACAAAGTCACTTTCCAAATGCCTCTGAACTCACAGCACATACTTGCCTGCCCAACCCCCTTCAAATGTCACTTCCCAACCCACAATACCATAATACACACCCCTCCTGATCTGCAACAGACATACACACCCCCAACTGAATCTAGTTTCTCTGCTGCATACAGGAACCCTTGGGGATCAGCAGAGACCAGACTACCCGCTCCCACACCCCCAGCGGCTTCCCTTTCTCCGCTCCCACCTTCAGACACTGTGCACAGTCCGTGGAGGTGGCTTCTGGCTGGGACTGTTGAACCTGGACAGGTGGGCGGACCAGAGCAGAAACTTGACTCACCTGGAACTGCAGCGGGGTGGGCGGGGCGGAAGTGCAGGTGAAGGGAAGGCGGGGTAGCAACCAGGATTTGCAGCGCCCTCAGCAGGATGGACTCATCTTACACCTCACCAAGCATTGAGGGGGAGCAGGCTTGCTCCCTCCCCGAATATTGTGGATTAGTGCAATTGGAATGCAGAAGGGGTCCAGCCAGTCCCTGAAGGGACAGACCTCCGCAGGCACTGCTGCCAGCCCTGATAAACAAATGGTTTTCTAGTGCCGGTACAAAGTCCAAAGTTGAAGCAATAAGCCAGATGGGACCATCAGGGGAGGGAGCAATGAGCAGTCTTCCCAGGCAGAGCCTGAGAGAACACGAATGTTACAAACTTCCCTGGAAAGCCCTAGTACATGGTGTGTGTGTGTGTGTGTGTGAGAGAGAGAGAGAGGTGTGTGTGAGAGAGAGAGAGAGAGAGAGAGAGAGAGAGAGAGAGAGAGAGAGAGAGAGAGAGAGAGAGAGAGAGAGAGAGAGAGAGAGAGAGAGAGAGAGAGAGAGAGATCCCACCTGTCAGGGCCTTAGCTCTCCTCTAAACTGGCCAGCATGGCCTTCGACACCTTTGGTATCCATGTTTCTCAGGGTCTTGGATTTACTCCTGCCTAGGCTGGCTGCCTCCTCTATCTACCTGGATGTTCTTCTGGGGTGGAAGACAGCCTCTGGGGTTCTCTGGGCTTTCTGCACCCAGCATAATACCCGAGACCGGACAGGATCAACAGATAACACAGGGAGAAAGGATTGCCTGTGCTACGGATGCTCAGGAATGAGTGCGCAGGGATCCAGGACCAGCAGGGCACGGCTGGAGAGAGGGCTGCCCAGAGGAGCAGCAAAGTGGATGGTAAAGAGAAAATCCTGACATGTCCTCAGCTTACTGTCAAAGGGCTGAGGCTGGAAGGAAGGAGGGCAGGAGGGGGGAGGGTTAATAAGTTACAGGCTACAGGCCTGCAAGAGCATACACACCCCCAACGGTTTTACCTTCTTGAATGTGTGTTAAGACACTGAGTGGCAGGCATCCTGCTGCAGCCCAGATGCGATGGTTACTTATCCATGCAGACAACCCTGTGTCCAGAACCTTCCCCTCTCAACTACAGCAAGTGTGGGTTCAATGCCTAAAATTAAATGCCTGTCTTTTTTTGTTTGTTTGTTTGGTTGGTTTTTTTTTTTTTTTTTTTTTTTTTTTTGAGACAGGGTTTCTCTGTAGCTTTGGAAGCTGTCCTGGAACTCACTTTGTAGACCAGGCTGGCCTCGAACTCACAGAGATCCGCCTGCCTCTGCCTCCCGAGTACTGGGATTAAAGGCATGCGCCACCAACGCCTGGCTTAAATGCCTGTCTTAATCTTCATTATGAACACTGTGGCTTTTTAGCTCACGCATGCTTTTCTTCTCCCTCCCCCCGCCAGCCCTCCCCCCCTCCCCCTGCCCCTGCTGCTACCTAGTGTGGCTGGGACCAAAGGTAGGGGTGTGGCAACTCATCATAAGCCCTTTGGGTAGTATCTGCAATGGCTTACTCAGCTGTTTCCTTTCCAAGATTCCTTAGTCTTGTGAGGGTTTTTTGTTTTGGGGCATGTGTGTATGTTTACTTTTATTTTGAAGCAGCGTCTCTCTATGTGAACCAGGCTGCCCTAGAACTCATTATGAATGGAGGCTGGCCTCAGACTCACAGAGATCTACCTGTTTCTGCTTCCTTAGTGTTGGGGTTAAAAGTGTGCGCCACCACACTCAGCTTGTCTTGAGAGTGTTTGCTTTGCTTTGTTCTAGCAGGGGCACGGTGAAACTGTCTGAAGGGTAGAAGTCTATACGCAGGGCCTGGAGTGTCTTAGAATGGAGGCCCAGGAGCAGCCCTTTGCCCTGGTATGCATCCCATATCATCCTACCCCTCCCACTCTACACTGCGCTCCAGCTGTGCTCCAGCTGTGCTCATCTCCTTCATGCCCAGACCCTGCAGTGATCCCTCTGCCCAGGGTCTGCACACTGTGACCCCAGCTTCCCAGTCAGCACTTTCAACTCCTGCCCCATACCTATCTCCAGCTTTTCCCCAGAAAATTACTCCACCTAGGCTCCTCGCTTGGGAGCTCTTTAGACCAAACTCCCCTGCCACACCCTAAGCTGGGTGATGCACCCTCTCCTCCCCTCTATTGCCTTGGCCCCTTGCTCCCACAGCCCAGTGCTGTGGTTTTCTTTTGGGAACCTTCAGCAAGCTGTGAGCTGTGATATGATATGATATGATAGCTTATCATCTTGTTATTATCTTATTATATCTTGTTATTGTATCCCCAATATCCATAATGATAGCAATGAATATTTCTGAAATCAATTAATGCGTTGGGACCTGACAGGTGAGGAGCCAGGGAGGAATGATTCCTGAGGTGGTAGGTAGGTGTAGGTGGGGACTGAGGTGCAGATTGAGGAAAAGCAGGAACCCCATGAAGAGGAGGAGACGATTTAGAAAGTCTGAGAGGAGGAATGAAGGAGAAGGAAATGATTGTTATCATAGGTGGGACAATGAGACACCAGAAAAAGTGACTTTTATTTTATTTTATTTTTGGAAAATAAACATGATGCCTAATCAACACCGACCAGTTCCAGGCACCATGTTTGTTGTTTGCTGCCCCGTCCCATGCGTCTGTTTTTAAATGGAGATATTTCTGCAGCATAACCAATTCTCAGGACCTAAAACTCATCTGGTTAGTCATTTTCAAGCAATGCATTCTGTAGCATTTGGGATCATAATGCTGTACAGCTCTTACTGTCATTGTAGTAATTTTCTCACACCTAAGGACATCCTATACCCAGTAAGCAGCCACTCTTCCTGTCCCCTGACCCAGGTTCCAGTAGACCCTGATCTTCCAGTCTCTATGGGTTGCCTTTTCTGGGTGTTTTGTATAGATGCAATAATACCTGTGCCACATACATTTATTTTATTTACACAGGGTTTCACTATGTAGTCCTAGCTGGCCTAGAACTCACTCTGTAGACCAGGCTGGCCTTGAACACACAGAGATCTGCCTGCCTCTGCCTCCTGAGTGCTGAGATTAAAGGCGTACGCCACCAACACCTCCCAGCTATGTGCCAGCATTTGAAAGGACTAGGTCATTTGGTTCTCATAACCATCCTATGAGGTAGATGTTAATTATCCCCTTACTAAATGAAGAAAACGAGACTCTGAGAGAAGAATTGACATGAGGTCCTAGCAAAGGAAATAAACAAATGATCCACATACCCATCGGTCCTTTATTCCAATAATATGTATTGAATGCACACCACAGAGGCACAGCCACCCAATAAGCAAAATACACAGCAACCCCGCTGGCACTTCAGCCAGGAGCTCCGGCACAGGACAACCTTCCACAGATGGCCTGGCAAGCGTGTGGTAAACTCTGTGCAAGTTTTTCATAGCAGCGGTGGACAATAGACCAGCAAAGAGATAAGATGGTTTCAGATAATGGTGAGTGCTATGAGGAAAGCAAAACATGGGTTGGAGAGGTGGCTCATTGGCTAGGAACACTTGTTCTTGCAGAGGGCTTGGGTTCATTTCCCATCATTCACGTGGTAGCTCATAACCATCCATAACTCCAGTTCCAAGGGATCTGACACCTCTTCGGTCCTCCACAGGACCAAGCATGCACCTAGTACATAGGCACACACGCAGGCAAAGCACCATACACACGCAATAAAAGAAATGCTTAAAAGTAAATAAAAGAGCTTCATGCAACAGCTTCATGTGAACATGGGAAGAGGCTGTGACTTCAGAAGATCAGGCGAAGGGGGACTCCTGTATCAGTTACTTTACTGAAACCACTCAGAGGAGGAAGGATTTCTTTTGGCTCACTGTTTCAGATGGTTTCAATGAGTCTTGATGGGGAAGGTACGCAGTGGTTCAAGCCATGACAGAGTGGGAGTGTGGTGGAGGTTGTTCACATGGCGGTGGATCGAGGAGCAGACGTCAAGGCAGGAAGGGGGCAGGGATAACACGCCCTCAAGGACCAGCCTTAGAAACCCTCCTCAAGGTAAACTCCAGCTCCCAAACTTCGGAGAACCTCTCTAACACCAGCAGCTGGGGACCAAACATTCAAACCATGAGCCTGTGAGAGACACTTCACATCCAAACCATAATGTTCCACCCCAGACCCCAAAGGCTCATGGTGCAAAATCTTGTGATGTAAAATGTAGTCCAACTTCAAGTGTCCACACAATCTTAACATTTCCAAAATTATTATAAAGTCTGTCTGGAGTCTCTATGGAGACTCAAAGTGATCTCTTAGCTGTGAGTCCCTGTAAAGTAAAAGAGAAGTTTATGAGTTTCCAATGTACAATGGTATGGAGTAAACATTCCACTTCAAAAATGGAGGAATACTTGCATAAGAAGAAAAGGCAGGATCAAAGCAAGGCCAGTAAGGCAAATAATAAACCAACATCCAGTGACGTGGAATCGT